ACTTGAAAAATGATGCACATTATAAACTACGAAAAAATTATTACGCAACATTTATGCAATGCACAATTGTATATTAATGTATTACCAAGCCTTTTCCAGTGCTCAGTGGCCATGCCTACATTAGCAAGTACTGTGGCAAAACAGGAATGCCTTTGTCAATACCTTTGATGATGGATACTGGGGACCCAACACCCATACTAGATGTATTTCAGGGATCAGTTCCTTTTCCAATAAGTGCAAAAGAGCAGCAGGCAATGAGAACCTCTGCTACCTGCCTCCATTACCTTTATGGCTACAAGGCTACGAGGCTTAATGGAAGGGTTGGTCATACCATGACCATGAATCTGAGTTTGTTTTAACAATATTAATACTCATTTACTTAATAACAGTGAGTTACTATAGAGCATACTTTTCTTTTATTAGAGTATGTGAAGAAAGTTTATTTGTCCTATTTTTCTCATTGCTTCAAAGAAGATATACTGAACTAGACACATTAAGACATATTTTCACACTCATTGCTTTTTCAAGGACTTACAATGTTTGCAGCAACAAATCTCACCCTACACATTGCATTTCCTAGGATCTATTTATTCGGGGCGGGGGGGAGCACACTTCTCAATGTCCTGAACACAATAAACAAAAGTGGTGGATTAGTCAACAAACAAAAAACAAACCCTGACCTCCAAGACTGGAGATAAGAGTACCAAGAAAGAAGGGGGGGGGGGGGGGGAAGAAGAAGAAAAAAAAGAAAAAGGAAAACTAGACTTGAAATTATAAGATTGTGAAATCCCAGAAATTTAAGAAACAGTTCTCTGGAAAGAAGAATTGTTGATATAAATGGCACTTCATTTTTTAGTGTCCTACCTGATTTCTCAAATATGCCCCACAATAGCTCCTGTCTTTGAGGACCCCGTAACTACAGTGCAGTACAGATTTCCCCTCTTAGCCTAGCACCCACAGGACCACAAAGGCTGCATTTCCACTGGCCAGTCCTGAGCACCAGTTAGTTAGCGCATACGGGATGTGATTCCGAGGCTTCCAAACTCCAAAAAACTCCTCTAGCTTAATGGGAAACACTTCAGCTTCTGCAAGTCCCAAAGTTATTCGGTAGAAGACTTTAACAATTGTCTTTGCGATCCTTGGCAAGAAATATGCCTTAGCCATGGACACTCCTATCTTCACAAGGAGACTCTTCAATGCTCTCACTTGCCATGAAGCCAAGAAGCCAACTCAGTTGCACTACATCAACAGAATACTGTCTTTTGAGGCTTGACATTTGCAGTTGATTTGGACTGCTGACAACCTATTTCTCCACCTGTCCCAGGGCTATCTGCTTTGGGTATTTCTCTAGGACTGTAAGATTTGTGTCCATCTGTACAAGATGGGATCTCACCGTTATTACACCTTTCCCTCTTCAGAGCTTGCTCATTCTCTCTGGCTATATTATGTAACGGGAATGAAACCTTAATAAACCTCTTACAGAGCATGGCCCCAGAGACTTACATGTTCTCCTTCCTCTGTATTTAGGCCTTAAAGTACAAATTGCAAATAAAGCAAATGGGACCAACCTCCATCCTGGGCAACCTTTCTGGATTTACTACATTCTAGTCCGCAGCTGGCACATTATAACAACCCTACTAAGCTAGGAGAAAAGAGGAATATTTTCAAGATTATCATACTGTTTTATAAAGTGTTTATGATAAGCATTTGTTATACATTGATTTTACCCTATAATCTCCAGCTTGCTATTAGGCCTCCAGAAAGACTACAGATGCTACATACCTAGAAGATCTGGCTTGCAGCAGAAACCCGTTCTTCCTGTCCTTTGCCTTTTTCTTGGCATCTCCAGTTTTGCGGGTTTGTGCTGCAGCAAGACTGCACCTGTGGACCACAAAATTCCTATTCTCCAGCAACACAATGGGACTTGGAGGTCTTGCCTTCTCCTTCCAAAGGCCCTGCCCATTTATGAAGGTCCTGCACATCACATGGCTACAGCCACTGCTTCTGCTATAGTCTCTGCAATGCAGTTCAACTTCCAGAGAGCCCAGTTCAAGAGAACTTCTTTATTCAAAAAAGCACTTGAATATGTACATCATTTTGCATAAGTTCTGTCCTGAATCACAGTGCCAAACAAATGCAGGAGGCAAAACTGAGATGCGAAGAGAGACAACAAATGTCCTGGGGTCCCTCGTGGCTGCACTGCTCCAGCTCTTGGACCAGAGAGACAGCATCTCTAAAGAGAATCTGACCATTATCATCTTTCCTACATATAGGAGCAGGTCCACCCTGGCTACTGAAAAGATTCGATAAACTGATTTACAATGCACTTTCTAAAACTGGCCCTGAAGGCCTTCCACTCAAGCTGATGTTAAAACAGCCTCTGAATTAGGGCTGATGGGAGACACAGCATAGTGCATCTATGAAGTTACAGAACAATTCCCAATAACTCCAATGGAAAATCATGAATGAAAAAGTCTCATTACCTTAAGATATCAAGGAAAGCCAGTGGAACTAAGCTATGCTCCACACAAGTTGATTTTATTATTTTCCACATAATGACTGTATAGATTTGATAACACAGGAAATATTTAGAGTTATTTTTAAACAGTGTGCAGAAATTTCTGCATAGTACCTTCCCTTTTGTGCTTGGTTGCTTTTTGGTTGGTTGGTTGGTTTTGGTTTGTTGGGGTTTTTTTGGGGGGGGGGGGGAGATGGTGTGTGTGTGTGTGTTTGTGTGTGTGCTTGGTTTGTTTTGTTTTTTTTTAAAGCTGGATAGAAAGTAAACTCATCATTATAAAGAAAACCAGAAAACAGTATCAAGTAAAAATTAAACACATGTTCATCATTGTCAACCTTCCTGTAAAAGAAGTCTTCCATATTTGCATGGCAAGCCTACGAAATACTTCAGAGAGAAACAGTAGCTGTGATGGAGGGATGTTGTAATTCTGTAGTGTCATTAAATATGAGTGGCAGTTAGTGCTCATTCTCTGGATTTTCTTCAGCAAGAACTGCAACGCACACAGAAGAAAGGTTTAAAAAATCAATACACTCTCCAGCACTACCGATAAGCTCCCAAGCTGCAGAAGACTTTGCGACATATGGATTCTTCCACTATGAATATCTGTTGTACACTTTACCTCCTCTATAAAGCCAGGCATCAAAGTTGTTTTGTAAAATGCCTGTGTGTTGTAGTAGGGATTTACAACAGAATGTGATAATGTGTAAAACCACAACTCAAGTCATCTTACTGTCCTGGGAAGAGCTTAGAAAAAGAGAGAGCTGCGACAGAACACAAAGCCTGGATTTAATAAACTCAGTAAGGGTGATGTATTTTTGATGTTAAGACACTATAAGGCCATTAATCTTTTAGGTAAAATGGCCCTGGAAAAATACCATTCTACATATGTCCATTTGCAAGCATTCATTTTTTTCCTGAATGTTGCCATATGCAAGTGTTAGAGGGGGAGCTCTGACCCCTTTTGCTTCCTAAGGGCTTAGAACTCAACTGAATGGAGACACTGCATGCGGATCTATGGGTAAGCCATGGAAAGATCAGCTACATGAACTTTCCTGTAGCCAAGACATCTTCCACTTTACCTGCTAAAATAAGAAGTAGGATCGATCTGTGTCATGCCCGAGTGAATTGCTACAAGTACAGCCAGATGGGGATTTCAGGGGGCAAAAAACAAATCATAAAATCAATATGCAATTCAAAAATATAATTTACCAACTAGCAACTTCCACGTTTATGCAAGAGGAAGCATAATTAGTACTGTGCAAACTGGGAAGCTTAAAAAACAACAAACACAAAACACACCTGTCAGAAAGCATTATTATATTTTGACTCATACTGTAGAGACACCATTGTCTCTACAGATGGGTTTTATATTGCTTTGCTTTTGTTATTGTGTAAGATAACAACCCAAAATCTGAAAGCTGTTTTGCTTGTCTGAGAGTGAACTCCTCAGAACTGAAAAACAAATAGCACTCTTGCTTTGGAAACAGAATATAAAGACTGGAAATGTTAAACATAGCTTACTCCAAGCTATATTTTATTGAAAAATAGGATGCAGATTTTATTAATAAGAAAACCCCAAACCTAATACTTAAAAAAACCCAGTAAAAATACACAAATTATAATATGAACAATTGCTATCTGTATATAAATACAAAATCAATTCAGCCAGTGTGTTTATGTAGAAACACTAAGATAAAGTAGCAGAATAGCAGAATTCCCACAAATCATCATAGGTGGAGATATTTTGCACCAATCAATCACAACATAACATAACATTATGGTCAATTTCTGCTCTCCCTACACTACTTGAAACTGAAAGCAGCTTTAAAGACAGAACTGGTGCTCACTTGGATTTATGTTACGTCCATATGAGGGCAATCTTGCAGTTAAAGATTTTTTTTAAAAAGCAGAGGTTGAACAAAACCATAAAACAGAGGGAGAATGTCCCAAGACTTCATGTAGATGGATTTGATCCATGTTATTTTTCTTTGGAAGATAAACAATCAAATAGCATGGGCAAAGAGTTTCAATGACCGACCTGATTTTTTTTCCAATTTCTCACTTCTCTAGGGCCTTTTCCCCTTGACGTCTGGATATCACTCTCTATAAAGACCAGGCAAAAATCTCACAAACTGAGGTGTTTACCCCAACTTCTAAGAAAGAATTCGATTTTATTACTACTTCTTTTTCCTGTTCTCCAGCAAGAACTGCTAGAACATGGGACTTCCTGTAACTGTTTTCCAGCAAAGAGGCGGACAAGAGATGCTCAAGAGACTATCTTCAGAAGTCAGAAAGGACAGGCTCCAGCCTCAGGAGAAAAAACTGGCTTCCATGTACTGATAGGGTCACAAATACAAAGACCATGAGGTTCTCTTCCCCTGTCAATGTTCAAGTACACTAAAAAATGAAGACATTTACTTCATTTACCCTCAATCAAAGATAACAAATGGAATAAAAAAAAATAGATGGAATGAATTTCTACCTCAATCTGGGTGGTGTTGTCATGTCCCTCTTCAAGCAGCAGGTCCGTAAAACCCCCAGGTTCAGAGGAATCCTGCCCCATGCTGGCTCTGTTGGTGTCGACTGATTTGAGAGACTCTGAGTGCCTTCTCCACCTGTGGCTGCTTACATGTGAATCCACTAGCACATTTTCCTCCACTGCAGGGAAGCTCTGAACAACTTCATAAACCACACCTGTTTGACAAAAAAAAACAAAACAAAACAAAAAAACAAACCAACCACAAGATAATAAGTGAGTGGAACTTTGGTTTACTAATCATAATTGAAAATCTAAGAATAGTAGCTTTTTATAAAGATTTTGAACAACTCCATAGAATAGCCATTTACATCTCTGATAAAGTTTCTACAACAACAACATAAGAGTTTAGAAGAGTAGATAGCATATTATACTTCTACAAAATTCAAGAATTTGGACAAAGTTTTGTAGACTCCTCTGAACATCCTAAATGTTTTATTTTCCTGCTTATTTTATGTCTGGGAAAGGTTTTCCCTGTAACTTTTGTAACTTTGATACTTGCCTACCCATAGGTGTCACTTTGCAAAATAAAATAAATCAAAGAAAAAAACCCAGTTAATCATCTAACAAAACAAAAGCAGAAGAGGCAGAGAAACTGGTACAGACTTAGCTTTTGCTACTGATTTTATGTAGAAAGAGCTTGGAAGCCGTGCTGAAAGGCAAATATACCTTATGAGAGACATGAAATTCCCATAAACATCTGTTCCAGTGCAAAAATAAAGCTGCCCCATTGTATAAGTGATAAACACAAAGGATGCATAAAGTCTGCAGACACCCACTATATTCTCTGCGAAGGATGAGCGGTTGAGTGGTGTGGTTTACATATTCCTTTTGGACTTTATTCATGCTCATTCACAACTTTTTCATGCTAGTAAAACTATCACCAAGACAAAACCATAAATTCTTCAGTAGTTTCCAGTTTTCCCAATACAAAAGCCAATCAAAGTATTTTTTGTTAATGTACTTCAGTTAACACCATCAAGAATGGGTAGAGTAATTTTGCATACTTTGCACTAAGAACCAGATATGCTTTTCACACTGTCTTTGGGTCTAAAAGGAGAAGCAGGGGGGTGTTCCGTGTTTTTCATGTGCCAGGAAGAAGGGGATCTTGTTCAAAAACCAGAATTGTGAGGTTCCAAATGAACTCTCAGAAGAAATGGTAAAGTAAAAGAAAAATACTGAGAGAAGAGTACACTGGTAAATAAATTATTTGTGGAAATATTTCCATTGCGCCTGTTTGGCAGAAGCTTCTGAGCAAAGGAAAGCACCACTTCCAAGGTCGAAATAAGCATTGCCTATGTTGTCTAGGTACAGAAGAGACAGAAAAATAGAAAATCACCTAACAAAGGTTTAAATAAGAAGTAAGATTTTCCTGCATCATAGCAGGAACAGGTATAGGAGTCATGGATATAGGAGAATCTTCCAGACATAATACACTTTAGGCTCCATGTGATTCCATTTTTCTATCAAATTCTCCAAAATCTACCAAACTTATTTTCTAAGCCGTACAATCACTTTCAACCACAGTAAAATTAACATGAGCCGACAGTGCTTTGTCACCTAGAGAAATCAGAATTTAATAGAGGTGCAAAATCAGCAATCTCAGGCCATAATTTTCCTCAGACACCAAGTAACAGGACTTCTTTTCTTTTAATTGGTAGCTTTTTGAAACATGTTTCCTTGCATTTCTTAAAAGCCTTAGAACACTTGTCTTCAACAAATTGCCACCGCACTCCCTGTTGTATGAAACAATCAGCTGCCAGATGCAGAGGGACAGCTCAGCAGATGAGCTAACTTATTCCTCCGCTGTCCTTATCAAAATTTATTCAAAGCTGCCCTCCCTGCTTCAGCTTGGAGGCACTCACCATGCTGTTATGGGGGTAAGGGCATCAGAAAGCTGTCAGACACATCAAACTTCCCAGATACAATCACAGATAGGCACTTTCTGCCTGCTACATGCAATGCCTGAGGCTGGATCAATGGAGGCAACATTTGCCCTCCCAGAGCTGCCAAGCCTGCGGCACTAAGACACCTCAGCACCTTCTGTGGGACATGGGAAGTGTTAGATGCCTACAAACGGGGGTCCCAGGCTACAGTGCAACAAGTACATGTCTGCAAGACCCCAATCCCTTCTTCTGAAGCACCTTCCCTGGCTGCCCTTGGTGGCTCAAAACCCACATTCAGAGGGAAAGTCAATAAGCATATTTAACGCTATTTCGCTCTCCCACTGCAGCCTAGTCTTTTTATGGCCAACAATCAACATGTTGAGGCAATCATCTGAATTACCAAATAGAAAATGTGAAAGTTAGGGGAGGGTCTTAAATCCTATTCACTTCAGGTTGAGCCTCATCTGTAGAGGAAAGCTATTATACTTTGTTCTTCCACATCCTGAATAGAAATTAATGTGGTTTCTAAGCTTTAAGGTGTTGTAACATAAACTACTTTTTAAAATAATAATAATATAGTGCTGGAGAGAAGAAGGAGATAAACACTTTGGGGTATTTCCACTGGCTTGGAAATTCTACACATTTTTCTCCATAATTTTCTTTTATAGTGCAATTGCATCATGGCATCTGCAAAATTTGGCATGGGCCTTTCCCCATTAGAGAAGCCTTTGAGGTCATCAGTGCACAACTTTTATCCTGTTTGAACTGTTTCAATTATGTGATTTTTCTCTTGAAACACAGAAAACATGTTTACTGCCATTAAACTGATAAATATTGTTTTACAAGTACAAGCTATACTGACATAAGGAAGCTGTATAATCATCTAACTGTATTCAGAATGCATTATATCCTTCTAAATTTAATAGTAGCAAGAATTAAATGGATGAACTGATAATGTTTTCAGTTTAAAACTAGTCTTTGGGATTTTTTTTCACCATTATCCATGAGAGCTTCTACCAGTGTTATCACTAGACTAGTTGACTGTGCTGGACTGGCGGAGTGGGGATACTGAAGCTACAATGTGAGATAAAATCTGGATGTGTTTTCAAGGAATAAAGAGAGAAATTTGCTGGAGGCTTCCTTCTTCATTAAACCTTTTCCTTAAGCTACTGCGGATGGAGAGGGAGAGATGATAGACTTGGCCAGACCAGCTCTGATCTAGTGTGATGTCTCTGGTTTATTCTGACAGATCTCTAATGCTGAGAAAGTGACAAACCATATTTTTTTTTTAAATGAGCTGAACAGAGTGTTTTCCTTTTATGTAAATATAATTTAAATATATAAATTCTAAGATAATGGATAGATAAATTAATTTTCAAGTTCTAAATGCAGGCAGCTCATGAAGAAAAAGCATTCAGAGACCTAAAATTGCAATACTTTACAAGTTAGAACTATTTCATGTTTCTGGTTGAAATCTCTGTGTAGCTAATAAATACATAAAAGGCATTTTAGAGGAAATGTACCAAAGTATTATACAAGATCTTTTAGATCTTGGCGCTCACACCTAATTAACACTGAAGGAGAACGTGTCATTCAAATCAGTTGGAAAGCAGCCAAATGCTGTAATATCTGATTAATAATAAAATCACAATATTGGCAAATATAGATGAGTAGTAACTTGTTCAACTTCTATGAACAGAGACTCAGAACTACAATAAGCCCTCAAATGTGTTAAAATTGCAACTACAGTTCTCAACTGATATTTTTATGTGCAAACCACAGGAGTGTTATATATAGTCCTGTCACTGGCATGCAAATACCTCAGTGTGAAGGTCTGTAGAGCTGATATTGTACCGTAGTATTTTGGAAGTAGTAAAAATAGAGTACAGGTCTTTCTAATGAATATGTAATTAAGCTGGTGTTTTGGTCTGATCCTTCAGCTCTTGTCCTTGAAGTTTTCATAAAATTAGCAATGAAAATCATTATGTCTGCAGCTTCTTTCCCCCTTGGGTTAAGTTAAATTTTATGATTTCAACTCTGTGTTGAATAAAGCTAGAAAGGCAGTGGGGTTGTGTTGTGGTTTCAGCCCAGCCCGTAACAAAGCACCATGTAGCCGCTCGCTCACTCCGCGCTGCCCTGGCCACGGTGGGATGGGGAGAAAATATAAAGGCAGGCTCGTGGGTCAAGATAAAGACAGGGAGGGATCACTCACCACTTATGGTGACGGACAAAAGACAGGCTCAACTTGGGGAAGAAACTAAATCAATTTAATTTACTGCCAATCAAATCAAAACAAGGATATTGGGAAGTAAACCCAAACCTTAGAACACCTTCCCCCTACCTCTCCCTCCTTCCCAGCTCAACTCCACTCCCGGTTCTCTCTACCTCGTCCCCCCACAGCGCAGGGGAACAGGGGATGGGGGTCGGGGTCAGCTCGACACACCTGGTCTCTGCTGCTCCTTCCTCCTCAGGGGGAGGAATCCTCACCCTTCCCCTGCTCCACCGTGGGGTCCCTCCCACAGGAGACAGTCCTTCACAAACTTCTCCAACGTGAGTCCTTTTCGCAGGCTGCAGTTCCTCACAAAATTGACTGGTGTGGGTCCTTTCTGCAGGCTTCCTTTCTTCCCGAACTTCCCTGGTGTGGGTCCTATCTGCGGGCCGATCTTCAGTCACAAACTGCTCCAGCATAGGCTTTCTCTGGAGTCACGGCCATCTTGGGGAGCCTCTGCTCTACCGTTCACCTCCATAGGCTGGGGGAGGACAGCCTGCCGTCTCACCACGGGCTGCAGGGGCATCCACCTCCTCAGGCATCCCTCCTCCCTCACTGACCTCAATATCTGCAGAGGGGTTCCTCTTACATTCCAGTCCCCCTGCTCACTACCAGCTCCCCTTCCTAAACCTGTTCTCCCAGAGGCGCTACCACCGTGGCTGATGGGCTCGGCCTGGGCCAGAGGCGGGTCCGACTTGGAGCCGGGGAAGCTTCCAGCAGCTTCTCACAGGAGCCAGCCCTGCGGCCCCTCCCCCACTACCAATTAAAAAAACGCGCCACACAAAGCCATAACAGGTGGGGGTAAGGGAAACAAAACTATAAAAAGCTTTCACTGCTCTGAGATTATTTGGAGTTAATGACCGACTGTTGGCAAGTTCAGAAACTCTTGTTGCAGTTGGCCGGTTTGGCTCTTTGTAGTCAATGTGATTGATCAGAATTACCACCAAAGGCATTAAGGGAATAGAGGCATAATTCACAGAAGCTGGAAAGACCTACACAGCAT